TAATTTATTTTCATAGATTATATAATTGAACGAATATTTTTCGTAATATAAAGTAACTATTTGGCACAGCATTGATCGATATAAGTATATAATTCATAATTTTGCTTACTATATTAATTCAAAAACTATATATGTATTCCATTTAGGTAAATAGATTGATCTTTAATATTGGCATTGTATTATGTCTATCTTTTCTCTAATTAGTTAGATTCAAACATAGGACTGAATTAATTGTTAACTTTATTTAGTTTTTTGGCAGTTGAAAATGATTATCTCTATGAAGAACAGTAAATTAGTTAGTGCTGTAGTACATACGTACCAGAGTGCGTAAAAGTGAACATGTGATATCAATTTTTATTGATTACATAGTAGAATTTCATATTCGATTTTGCCAAAAATGAAGACGAGAAGAATAACTACTAATCTTACTAGCATCATATATAATTTAAGCTTTCCAAGTCATTAATGTCAATAATACAAACTCTTTATATTATGTGTATCAGTTCGAAATGGTAGACTTATTTTATTAAAAAACGTGTAATTATGAATGCTTTTTGATTTTTTTGTAAATCAAAATAAAATGTAAATGATCCAATAAATATAATAAATAGCGCAAATCAAATATTCTTAATATACTAAAAATAAGTTTATTTAATAGATTAAAATGGCAGCAAATGATTGGCTCAGCGAAACACAAAATACATAGAACATCTTTAAATTTTAGAGATTATCAATTAATCTGGGCGGTAAAAAATCCGAAAGCAGAAAACTTCAAAAGTAAAAAATTACAAAATCTTATTCTACAATTGATACAAAATCAACTTTTTTTTTTACCGATTTAGCGTCAAATGCGCAGATAGTTGTTAAGTCTTACTAAGCAGTTTTGCCTTTCTGCTGAGCTCTACTGGAGCATTGTAGTTGAAGAGCAAGAGCTCACGAGTAGTCTATATAAAACGCGATCAATTTTGTGATACGTTTGATCACCTTTCTTAGCCATTTTTTCTCTAAAATCGGATTGTGACACAATAATTAAATTACGTTTTCAGCAAATTTACGTATCACAAATACGAACGAGCTTTTTTTAATGCGTTAAAATTGATATCACACTTTGCTTTATCTGTTATATTATTTTCGTAAAAATGCGCTTGCTACCCAAATGTTTAAACGCTCTTAAGCATCCTGGTAAGGCAAAATGTAACGGTGATTTCTGTAAAAATGCTTCTACAATATAACATGTTTGAAAAAAAATATATAGCCTTTTGGGAGAGCACGGAAAAACCTTCACTTAAAAGGTTCTTAGAGTTCCGTTTAACGGAGGGCAATTTGGAAAGCGAAGAAGAAGAGCACCTTAGATACATTTGTGAAATAAATACTATCAGTAAATACTATACTGAAACGTCTGAAATTGGGCAGAAGTTGCTAACGTGGAATCAGGATTTTAAGGCAAGATTTATTCAATTTATCGAGGTTGGAGAAGTTGTTAGCCTGAGTTGTTCTGCACCGTCACCAACTACCTTGCTGGTTGCGACTGGTACAGGGAAAGGTTGCGTACTTGTTGGTGAGCACACCATAATAGATAATGTGTGTGTCAGTGTGTAGCGCAATGCTTGCATTTGTAACGTCATCAACTACCTTGCTGGTTGCGTACTGGTATTGGGAAAGGTTGCGTACTTGTTGGTGAGCACGGGGTGTTGGTGTACTTGGTGAACACGTGGTGTTAGTGTACAATGCAATGCTTCAACGACTACCTTGCTGGTTGCGTACTGGTATTGGGAAAGGTTGCGTACTTGTCGTTGATTCAGGCTGGTTACGATTTTTTTTTTTCACGCAAGACGGAACTAATCATCACTTTTCCTGTTGTATAAGAATGATAAAAAGTCAAAAGAAATAACTCATTTTTGGGATCTGCAAGATAAGAGGCAAAACGTTCATTCAGAGAAGTTGTTGTTCGAGGAGGAAGCCAAAATGAGTCAAGTAGGTTAATTTTGGCAATTGGTGGTTTCTGTTTTGACAATATTTACTAATTTTTAGAATTAATCTGATGAAGAATAAACTGGAAAATCAGATTTATCTCGAACAGGTTTGTATATCGTGAGATATTAATACCGATCTTTATGTTGCCATACTGAATCTATTTAGACACGATATATTCTGGATGCGACAAGAGAGAGATCTTTACTACAAAGAACGATCACCAACCGATTTGAAAAATACGTGTCAGATAATACTCTCCAACCCGTTGTGTCACAAATAAACGAGAATGAAAGAAAACGGCATGCAGAGGAAATCTCTCATACCATAACTACTCCTCCAAATCTCCGTCCATCAGTTGAGGAAAAGAAGGCCGATGACCATTTTTTTTTTTCGGTAGGTCCTTGAGAAATTTTTTAGCTAGAAGTTCAAACGTGAAGCTTGTTATAAAGCATCTTCGGTTTTCTAACAGGATCAGATTGTTAAAGGGAACGAAGATACTTCATATGAACGTCGTCGGCGTTGTTCTATTCCGGAAGATAATGTAGCCATCATGTTTTCTAATGCATGGCTTTCTAGAAAACGTCTTCTCACTTCTCAGGTGCTTTTGCAGATCAACTTGGAAGAGTTCCCGTCTGTAACGACAACAACTTCGTTATATGTTCCATCTTCTCCACCATCTACTTCTGATTGCAATATTAGCGAAGAATATACAATTGTAGAAAACCGCAGTTATTCTATAGATTACCTCACTGGTCCCGGTGTTCCCGAATGGCACCTGAACGAAGATTCAATTCGAGTAAGCATTTTTAATGCATGACGTGATATTAATGAAATATTATTATTTTTTTTTTTATTTGTTATTCCTCTCTTTTCAGTGGGTTGTAAACGACATCGATATTACTGAGATATGTCGTGAATATCGTGCTGTTGTGGTTAAAAAATGCGAGTCGATGGATGTTACTTTGAGTGCTACAGAAGAACTGTAAGTATCATATAGTAATATAAGTTATGAAGACTTGACTAAGCTTTTCCTCTTTTATAGGATTTTAAGTCACGTATTTGTATTTCAAGAACAAAGTCCCCTCGGATTATGTGAATATTTTGATGACGAATTATGGGCGGAGC